GGTGACTAAACCAGTCATCAATCTTTGCTCTGAATTTAGGGTCTAAATGAGATGGTTAGGGTAAGATGAGTATATAAAAGGAGATAAATAAGGCAGGAAAATGAAGCATGAATGAATGCTTTTCCCACTTCTATTTCTTCCTAATCTTTTCTTTTTAGAGCTGATTCAATTGAGGGCATCAACTAAAACCAATATATCAAAATGCACTGAATTTTTCAGGGAGATTACAACAGAATTCTGTCTTTACTATTTAAAGGGAGTTGGAATGAGAGTTTGATATTTAGAAGTTTGGTAATTGTGAACTTAACTGATTTTTTTTTTTTTAAGATCTTATTTACTTATTTGACAGAGAGAGAGAGAGAGAGGGCACAAGCAGGTGAAGGGGCTGGCAGAGGGAGAAGCAGGCTCCACTCTGAGCAAGGATCTCATCAAGATGTGGCTCTTGATCCCAGGACCCTGGGATTCTGAGCTGAGCCAAAGGCAGACGTTAACTGACTGAGCCACCCAGGTGCCCCTCCACTGATTTTTTTTTTTTTTAAAGATTTTATTTATTTATTTGACAGACAGAAATCACAAGCAGGCAGAGAGGCAGGCAGAGAGAGAGGAAGGGAAGCAGACTCCCTGATGAGCAAAGAGCCCGATGCGGGGCTCGATCCCAGAGCCCCGAGATCATGACCCGAGCCGAAGGCAGCGGCTTAACCCACTGAGCCACCCAGGCGCCCCTGATTTTTTTTTTTTTAAGAAAAAATATTTTCGTGTCTATATATTCTCTTTTACTCTTCCCTTCAAGAAGTGGTTTCATGCCCTTTCTTTGAGCATGTGCTTGACTTTTATCTCATGAATAGAATGTGGTGAAAATGATGGATTCTGACTTCTGAGGGTAGGTCACGAAAAGCAGTGAAGTTTCTTCCTTGCTCTCTGGGGGAAGCCAGACACTCAAGCAACCCTATGGAAAGATTCAGGTGGAGGATCTTAAACAGCCGGTGAGGATCTGAAGCCTGCGAATGGCCAAGTGAATGAGACATCTTGGAAACAGATCTTTCAGCTTTCCCCAAGCCTCTAGATGAGTGCGGGCCCAGGTGACAACTTCACTCTTTAGCCAAACTACTTCCAAAGTCCTAGACCACAGAAACCATGCGATAATAGATATTTGTTGTTTTAAGTCGCTAAAAATATGTATCTTTTTCCTATGGAGTTCTGATACCAATTTTTCATCTGTAACACTTTATTACAAAATTAGTTCTTAATTTTCAATGTTTAGAAGAACACAAAGGACAATGATAATATCCTAGCTTCAAACAGAAGAACACATTTTTACTTCAACTATAAATTGTAGTCTTTGTCCCATTAAATCTTTGGCATGAATGCCTAAGCAAAATGACTACTTTGAATATTTTTAAAATAATCACTCATTTTTGGGAGTGAGAAAGGAAATAGCTATTAGGAATCAAAAGCTACCTCCTGAGTGATTTTCTCTGATAAGACAGCTTGTAAATCATTGGAATGAATGACCAAAGTTACAAAATTTTACAGTAAAAGAAAATACATAACTTCAAGTCACTATTTTTAACTTTTGACCAAAAATTATGAAATTTTGAGTGAAGTATCCTGATATTAAGTATCATAAAATAAAATAGTATATAACATAGATTATAGAACATATAATAAACATAATCAAATACATGTAGCATTCATGATGAGTAATACATGATAAAATCAATCTAATATTACTTTCTGATATTTTTCATCATGTAGGGCACATCATTTTTGTCTCCTCCTCAAATAAAAGCTTCATGAGGGAAGGGATTTGTCTGTCTGCAGATTGAAGGGGGGATAACAGATCAAGGGTGTTCAGTAAATATTAAATAATGAATAACATACTCCTATATGATGTTTCCTTCTCTTTGAACACTAAACTTTGCTATGTTTGACTTTCTAGAGTTTAACCAAGAATCAGAAAAGTTTTGAATTCATGGATTTATTGCCTTAGGCTGAGAAGGAAGTGAAGGTGTCACAGCTCTAAAACTCTGCAGAAAGACCCAAAGTAGAAAGGATCTGTGAGACCTGTTGGGAAGGTTGGAAAACTCTGCTTACCCATACTCTCAATTTATCAGTGGTCTTTCTCAGAACTTGTCTTTGAACTGCTTATTTTCCCCACCTCAATACATTAAAAAAAAAAAAAAGTATTTGGTAGTGTTCATTTCAACTTTGCTAGGGGTCTAATGTCATTAAAATCAACTCTATTTAAAATTCCCAGTGATTATGAAATCTCAGTGTGTTCTGACTTCATTGAGATATTCCCACTGGAGCCACCTGCTTGTTCATATAGTACGCAGCCTTTTCAGATTGACTTCTTTCACTCAGTAATATGACTGGTCTTTGCTTTTCATTATTCTGACTAGCTCATAAAGACATTCCAAGCTGTTGCTAGTAGAAGTTAACTAAATGGAGGATGTTTTGTCCTTTATGAAATAAAACCTAAAATAGAACATACCAGCAAATATCACATCCAGAATGAGAATAATTTTTGCTCAGGTCAGCTAGGTTTTAAAATTGTTCACAAGACCTAAATCTTTCCTATATACTTCTCTCCATTGTTTTATTTACTCCTTTGTTGTATTTCAGTTGTTTTTGGAAAATATTTTAAGTGAGATTCAAGCTAAAAACACACGATTAAACATTAAACATCCCTTCCTGAATCTCTTAAAATTGGCTTTTTTCTTAGATCAATCATTAATGTACCTATCTAATTACACTACTTGGAATAATAGGGAGTAGAGTGTAGCATGTTTGCTCTACTGCTTGTTTAGAGTTATCAATTATTCATGTTTCTCTTCCTGTGTCCATCAGATGCTCTTGCAGCAAAGGTCTGGCCACTATGCAATCCTCCCCTCCCTGGAGAGTGATTACCATGTACCCTGCAGCCCATTTTGCTTGGGTTATGGCATAGTGTTATCTACGGCAAGGAAAAAGTTCATTCTTTTGTTGTAGGGACTTCATATGATTGCCGATCAGTTATGTTAAGATGCACGATGATGTCGTGCAGGGACAATAATTTTATTTTGCAGTGATTATCACAACTGCAGGTACAGAGGTCCCTAGGAAGATTTTATATCTTTTTACATGCCATTATAATAGCACACAAGGTTGAAATAATGGCTGAGCACAGAAGCAATTATTCTTGGCGTATCTTATTTAAAAATCAAAAGCAGAACTGGATGCTTACAGCTAAGACAAAATAGAGGCTTAGATTTTTTTTTTCTTGTAATAAGCCAAACCTTTGCAAATATGTATGTTTCCTCATTTGAACACATTGTTTGAATGCACAGATCTCAAAAATAGCTCAATTTTGAAATATTTTTGGACATATGTCACATCACTAAATGTTTTTTATGCACCAGTAAGATGTGTAAGACTCTTTCAGGTACCATATTTACATTTTACAAAGTCATGTAAAATAGAGGAAATATTGTCATCATTTAATATTTATGAAGAATGCATTGTGCTCCTATGAGCACCAGTGTAGCTTGGCCTCTTACATGTTTAGTGGCAAACTGGTTGCCACACTAACCACTATTACTAATGTAAACTATTAATTTTGTATTGGTCAGACATTGTTCTGATTGCGTCATGTGGATTTTCTCATTCTATTCTAGGACTATAAATAGTGAAGTAGTACAGTTACCCTCATTTTATAGATGTGAATGCTGAGTCACACATGGGTTAAATAATATATTCAGGAAACTCAGAGAGTCATAGCTTAACTGGGATCCAAACACAGTTCTGGGTCTGGAACCCAAACCCTTGGCCATGATGTGTGTTAAACCCTCTCTCAATGACACAATATGCTATTATATGAAAAAGATACATACTGTCACTGTGTGGCTAAATGTTTTCCTATCTTCACTTCTCGTCTCAATTTTTGCCTTCTGCACAAACTGTTGTGGATGTCAATGAATTGCATTAGAACTCCATATTCTTTGTCCCCATATTTCTTATCCTGGAAGACTTCCTATGGAGGACATTGAAACTGTCTTTCCATTTAAAGAAAAAAAGCTACTAGTAGCTTCAGCTTATTTAGATCTGTACCGAACTTACTTCCTTAAAAGTTATTCACACAGAAACAAAATACATGCAAACGTGACTTCATTTTGTTAATGATTTTTATTTTTACATTCTATTACAATGTGTACATCTCCAGTATAACTACAATATAATTTATGACAAACTCAAACATTCTGAGCATTCACAGATGTAAGAAAATTTACAGAGTTCTATGTAAACAGCATTATTATATGCTTGGCTATTCATTTATTTTTATGAAGCAATTCTTGATTCTTTTCCTCAAGAACTTTACATCATAACCACAGATACTTAAAAAACTGTGTAGTCTCTATACATAGGTCCTAAACCCAGGCCCATTACTTGGCCATTCTAATTTAGCTGGCCTTCCTTTCATTACTTCCAGTAACATTTCTCCAAAATTCCTATTTAAAACTGCTTTATTTACATGTGCATTTTATCTTAAATCTTTTTAATAAAGCTATCAAAAGTCTATAAAATCATGCTGAACATTTTGGGTTGAGGTTTTCAACAATCAACATTTAGAAACAGCCCACAAGTCACTTAATGTCTTTTGCAAACTATGTAACAGTCAAAAAAGCAAAATGAGATTCTCCCACTTTTCTCCAAATTGCATGTATGCATTTATGTGTGTCCAGATCTTTGCTTCCATTTGTGTTTGCTTCCATTTTATTCTAACTTAAAATTTACACTGTAACTGCCATTCTAGATCATTAGGTGAAATGAATCCAAGGATTATGTAATTTAAATATTAGCATGACAGTGCCTTCTGGAGGCATCTCATTGTCTGTACCAAACAGTAACCTACATGAAAAGCAAAGTCTAATTTTACTTCAAGCTTACACAGTACTAAATAAGCTCTCAATTCCATATATTGTTTTTAATTGATTAAAAGTCACTAGACCTGCCTGGGAAAACATATATATACAAAACCTAACTAGGTTATATTAAAAAAAAGTATTGTTCAGCATGAAATTGGTTCGGCATGAAATAGGAGAAAAGAGCAAATTTGTAAAATTTTTTTTTTGAAATGGTAAGAAGAAACTGTTGAGGAACCAGTTGCCAGTATTTTTTATTTTACATAAAAAGGAGGTAATGTAAAAATGTTACTAGTAAATCACACATAAACCTGTCCATCATACGTCTTTTCATAATATATAAATATGCAAAATGCAGTTATATTTATATAGGTTTAAAATAATGAGGATAGACTGAATTTAAATCTAAAGTGATATTAATTTCTTAATTTAATGTATTAAAAATATTACAAAAGTAATATATTTTGAATGGTTCCCTAATTGTCAAAACCTATTTTCAACAGGCTTAGCAGGTATGCAATGCAATGCTCTACATAGCCTAGGAAAACACTGCATGGTATCTTTCTTATTAAATAAAAAAGAGGCTCAAATAACCTAAGATGAATAATTGAGTGTAGGTGCAAAGAATCTTTGGCCCTAGATTTAATTTCATATGTATCTTAGGACAAACGTCTAGAAGTGATCATCTCCCTCACAGATGTTACAAAATATGTCACAATTTTAAAACTTTGCAGATACAAAGTTCCATGGATATGTTTCTGTTTTTGTCTGTTGATCTCATATCTGTGTTTCTTAGTCCATCCCTCTTTCTGCCTGTCATTCTCTACCCATACTCTTCATTTCTGTAGGTATTTTTAAATCTCCTTTATTTTTAACTAGCCAGAATAACAAAAACTATGTATTTATTATAGAAATATAATTTATGTTCTTTTTTAATTTAGAAAAGCAAATGAATAATATATATACTTGCTTTGAAAACTCCTACAAAATCTTCTAAATAAAATTACTCTCTACTTATGTAACTCAATTTTTGCCTATGCATAAGTAACTTGATAGAAGAAAGAGCTCATATTCCTGAAATAAACTCATGAAAAAATGCATCATGGCCATTTCTTTTCAAGCCATCATCAACGAGAACTTTTTAAAACTAGATTTATAATCCTTGGTAGGTGGACAGCTCCTAAAAGAAAATGAGTGTGTGCTTGGTAAACTATCAGCTCAGGGTACCTTATTGATTGATATCAACTATGCCTCAGAGTTTTAGAAGTTTAAGGAGAAAGTGACATTGTCTTTATTTTTATAGATGAAAGAGAAAGGTCCAAAAGGACTAATAGCACAATTAGGATAGTACATTAGAGGCAAGAAAGCAGGGTGGCAAGAATCCCAGTTGGATGATCTTTCACTCATACTAAACATGGGTCTCTGTTGAAAGGCTGACATGTATCGTGACTTGAGAGTTTGCCGCACACATTGAGGATGGCAAGCAGGCGAGGCAGTCCAGGCTTTGCTCAAGCCATTAGCTGCTCCAACATGAACCACAGTATCAAACAGATAGCTGCACGTCAGGAAGCACTTCACTGAAGGAAAATATTAACTTCACTTTGTGCTAAAGAATGATTAGACAATACTGCCCGAGAAAGCAGAAATTTGTGACCAAACAGATGAAGAGTTGGGTCATTATTGGTGTTTAAGGGGCAGCACAGTAACGTGTTAGACTGTATAAATAAAAGTAAATAAAGCTTCCTTCTGTTCCTTCTTTTCTTAAGCATCTTCAGTTTTTTTTCTTCTTTTGAGGAATGTGATATGTACTTAAAATAATTTTTCACGTTGTATGGTTATCGTATGAACCAAGAAGTATATTTTAAAAGGCAGACTATGAAGCACAATACTCTAAAAGGTAAGCTTATCCTGGCTGGTCTATGAGTCAAGATGAATGAAAAATATTTGTCGAAATGAAGAGCCTACATATGTTTTTAATCCCATGGCATTGTATAGGCACATAAAAATTGATTCTGATGCAGTACGGAATAAATGTAAGCACCTCAAAAATAGACAATGACCTCTGTACATGGAAAAGAGTCTTGCTTCCTAATAACAGATGTGTTATTTGTTACTAATGGCCATTCCTTCTATCAGGACATTTGATTTGCAAAGCCAAGGTAAAACACTTCTACAGATATCCAAATGATAGCTGCGTGTGTGTTTGTATTTGCATGGGAAACAGGAAGGTTTACAATCCTGTGAAGAGATGACAAGGCAGAGGTGAACATTTTCCACATGGTCTTCTGATTTATTAAAAGCAAATAAAATTAAACCAGCTTTGTTTGCTGTAATCGAGAATCCCTGCAGAGTACTCTCACGATTCTTACATAACCATTTACCAATGCAAATGTAGCCATCTGCTAATCCTGTTCACCTATTTTAGGGAATCAGAGCGAGTCAACCACACTGACTCTGAGAATATTTCAATAAAAAGTTTTGGCATAGACTTCCTTAAAAGAGTCTTATTAACACAAATATATCACCTCCAGAGGCTGTAAACAATATATCAAAAATGAAGCTCTACTTTTTGCTTTCCTTGCCATCTTTCCCTTTGTCTTCCTTTTCTGCTTTGTCCGTTTCATATTTCTCTTTGTCTGGCTTTGTTACACTGTCATATGAAGGTGGAGAGACGGTGGATGGGGTTGCATCTGTTTTTTCTGGACTTGAGTTCTCATTAGTGTTGTCAAACACCCTATCTTCTTTACTGGGCAAACCATCATCTCGGTCTCCATCTTTTATGTATATACTTGATATATTTTTGACATTTTGCCGTAAGCGGTAATGTCTGTAAGCACGCTGAATGACAGTAGCAGACACATCCTCTTGTTTTCGTTTTAGTGTAGTTGTTATGGGTTCATAGGACACTTTAGAAGGATTTGCTGACATGAACCTTTCCTCCATCTGTGAACGTAGAGAGTCCATCTCTCCGCTTTCACCCAAAACACGCTTTGTAAAGGCAAATAAAATGTCAAGGCAATGGATCCGGTCCCCACTGACCATGGGCAGGTCCATGGCGATGAGCTGGACTTTGTTTGGTTTGGCTATGAGAAGAGGAGGATCCAGGGCAGCTGCAAAATCGGAGAGCTTGCTATACTCTATAAACTGGGTGGCATCAGGATCAAACTTCTCCCAAACCTCATAGAACATCTCGAAGTCATCCTCACTCAGGGGTTCAGTACTTTCCTCAGTAGCAACACTGAAGTTCTCCAGGATGACAGCGATGTACATGTTCACCACAACCAGAAATGATATGATGATGTAACTCACAAAATAAAATATCCCAACTGATGGGTTCCCGCAGTCTCCTTCAACTGAACTTCCGGGATGAACTTTCTTTGGATCACAGTCAGGGGGTGCACTGTTGAGAATAGGTGCCAGCAGTCCGTCCCAGCCAGCGGAGGTGGTAATTTGGAACAGGCAGATCATGCTGTTGCCAAAGGTCTCAAAGTTGAACATGTCATTGATTCCAGCTTCCTTTTTAACATAGGCAAAGTTGGACATTCCAAAGATGGCGTAGATGAACATGACCAGGAAGAGCAGGAGGCCGATGTTAAACAAGGCAGGAAGGGACATCATCAGAGCAAAGAGCAGCGTGCGGATCCCCTTGGCCCCTTTGATCAGACGCAAGATTCGACCAATCCTGGCGAGCCGGATCACTCGGAACAGGGTAGGGGACACAAAGTATTTTTCTATGAGCTCAGCCAGAAACATACCTGGTGAGGAGGGAGGGGATGGTACAGAAAAATCATGACTTTTAAGTAATGTTATCTTCCATCTTTTCTCTCATGATTTCAGGACTATCATTTTATATTGAAAGCAGTTTCATAACAATCAACAGATTGAGCAATCCCAAAGGAAAATGATTGATATTACCACTGTGACATTTTCTCTCCCTTTACTAAGTTTGCGGGCATTGTTTTTTTTCCCCCTCCATAATAATTTTTGATTATTATGGGTGATACCTACTCATGAAGATACCTACTCATGAAGAAAATTCAACCAATACAGTAAAAAGCTTAAAGGGAAATCTAAATCACCGAAATACCATCAATTATAATAACTGTTACTACTTTGTTATCACTTCAGACACTTTTTTCTGTGCAAGCCCAGGCACACATTGCCCCATGAATGTAATTATGTTACCTGGGCATTTTTTATGATTTGAGTCATTTCATCATGTCATGGAAACATTTCCAGTCAAATGGCAACGAAGTATAATTATAGTAAATATAGTTTATATACTATAAATTATAGTAATTTATATATATATAAATTATATAGTTTCATAATGTTCTGTCCAAATAACTGCATACTGAAGAATTTTCTGTTGTTTTCAAATTTTTTGGCTGAGAAAAGTATTCAGGTAGGTATATTTTTTCTAGTTACCTAAGCATCATTTGATAATATATTAATAAAAAATCAGTGTATTCAAAGTTTTCTTATAGATCACCAAACCTGTGTTGAGAAAGTCTGTGCAGTTCTTCATAGTGACGTATGAAAATGCTTGCGTGGTTCCACATACTCAGACAGTATTGTGGTTCTGATTTTTACCAGAAAATCTTTATGATGTTTCAAAACACCTCTTTATAAATTTTTTTGTTGGGAAAAAAATCCACAATTTTTCTTGTTAATTGGACATTTTGTGTGCTTGTTGGCTATTTTCAACTTTCTCTTTTCAGCCATGTCAAGTCCTTTGCCCATTTTTCTAATGAGAGATTTACTGTTTTCTTACTGATTTCGGAGGACTATTTCTCCACTGAAAGTGCTTATCCTTTGTTGGTCTTACATGTTACATACAACTTTTCCCTGTGTTTTGTCTTTCAATCTTTTTGCTTGGGGAGAGGTTGTAGTGAGATTTTCCCATAGAATATTTTGATTTTTATATAATCTTGTTATTTTTTTCTTCATAGACTCAAATTTGTGTCATAAATAGGAAAGACTGTTCAGGTTCATTGTCCTAAATCTATTTCTTCTTGAATCCTTTTTTTTTACACTTTAATTTTTGATTCATGTGATCTTCCTACTGAGTAAATTAGTAATTATCTATATAGTGAAGTTAAATTTTGAATTATCTATGTGAATCTACTGAGCTTTTTAAAGACACTGTTTTACTTCATCAATGTTAACGGTGGTCTAAGTATCCAGCAATGTAAGCAACCACTCATTACTTTAATTTTTCTTCTAGATAAATTTTAGAATCATTCAGACTTATATTGCCAATATATTATTTCCACCAGGCAAAAAGACCTATTGATATTCTCACTGAGAAAGCACTGCATTTACAAATTAATTTATTTCAAAAATGGTCATGATTATCGTGATAGCCTTCTTAACCAAGTATAATAAAAGGCTTTCAATTATTTAAGGCTTCTTTTATGCCTGTTAGCTTTCCTCAAAGAAGTCCTATGCTTTTATTAAAGTTGTTGCTGGGATATTTTACTTTATTTTTATTGTAAATGCAAGTGAGATTTTTCTTTAGGTATACTTTCTAAATTTTTTGTCCACATATAAAACATTTATGAATATCAATACATGTGATTTAAAGTTTGTACTTTCTGAATTCTAATTGAATCCATTTTTTTTGGTTGATTCTCTTTCATATTTAAAGAATGCCATAATATAATCTGAAGATGAAGATCATTTGCTCCATGTACCCCTCTGTTTTCTTATCTAATTGCATCAGCCAACACTGTTAAAAATAGAGGTCATAGAGGAACACTCTTTTTTTCTTCCCAACTTGATGATTTCCAAATAGTTTCCACTATTTTGCTTATTACTCTGAGATTCCTACCTAAATTTTATTTATTTTTTAAAGATTTTATTTATTTATTTGACAGAGAGGAGGCAGTGAGAACAGGAACACAAGCAGGGGGACTGGGAGAGGGAGAAGCAGGCTTCCCGCCAAGCAGGGAGCCCAATGTGCGTTCAATCCCAGGACCCTGGGGTCATGACCCGAGCCAAAGGCAGACGCTTAATGACTGAGTCACCCAGGTACCCTCCTACTTAAATTTTAATTTGTTTTCTGATATCTTAATATTTTCTTAATACTCTTTTTTTTAAAAATTGATTTTGAATGTGTCTTTTAAGTGACATGGTACTCAATATTGAGATGTTAGGTTATGTGACCTTTAACCTTTCTGGGCCTGCCTCTTTCATCATCTGTAAGTTGAATGTGTATTAAACACTCTCCAAAATCTCTTTCTGTCTAAAATTTGCAATTCTAAAAATAAATGCAACCCTAAAATATTGGGCAAAGCATGTGCAGATATTGAGAAAACAAGAGGACAGAAAAACAGCTATGGTAATGAAAGGTGAAGAATTATAAGATCATGTACTGTGATTCATGGCCATGACTGGGATTGGTTGAGAAATGATTCTATTTTATAGACTTGTCAAGTAATGAGGCCATAAGAAATGAAAATGCCATTTCTTGAGATCTTACCTTCATTTCGAATTCAGAAAGAATTTTCACAGAGAGAGATATTCTGGTTATTAATGATCATTAATCAAGGGACAGTTCTCATGATGTGCTAAAACTTGAGGTGATTTCAGATTCTCCGTTGGTCTTCCTACATACATATAAGTATTTCTACTACTTACCTATATAGACACAATTGCTGCTTCTGTGAGGGTAATCTTGGAAATCAACTATCAAGGAGTATTACATGCTTCTAACAAACAGAAGAGTTTTGGCTTTGAGACCTGGAGTATGAACCCAGTAATCCTGACACAGAGGTCTTTGTTTTATTTAGTTTTGTCTTTAAGGCTCCTTCATTCTTTCATTTTACGTATGTACTCAAAAGTAAATTTATATTCAAGAATTCGGAAGCTTCTCTGAGCAAATGTGAAGTTTAGTTTAATTCAAAATGCTCTTACCTACAATGGAGAGAATCACAACCACAAAGTCAAAAATGTTCCATCCTATAGTGAAGTAGTAGTGTCTGAGGGAGATCAGTTTCAGCACACATTCTCCAGTGAAAAGAATAATAAAAACCACATTTATCCAATATAAAACATCAGTCATGTATTCACTTTGTCCCTCTTTTTCTACCATCATGGTCACCATGTTGAGGCAGATAAGAACCATGATGGTGATATCAAAAGCTTGGTTTGTTACTAGGTCAAATATACATCCTTGGAATTTGTTCTGTAAAGAAACAAGAATAATATGTAATGTAGAGTAGGTTTTGCAATGATCATACATTAATCATTACATTACTAAAAAGTATTTTAGAAAGGCATGCCTTCAAAAGTTGCATAAATTATACTTGGTCATAGATTCTTGATTTTCAGAAGAAACATTATTAGTGAGTTAAATCTAACTCAAAGCACATGAAAACTTTTTGTTGTTGTTGTTGACTTCTGGTACATATCAGACCCGCCAGATTTCAGTTGGTCATGTATACTAACATTTGCTTTTAAACGCACCTACCCTAGCATATTATACATGAATTGCCACGGTCACAGGTAATTTTTTACTAAGAAAACCTCAACTCCTCCACCTGGAGTTTTCAATAAAATAACAGGTCTCTAAATTTCTACTTTGTCATATTATTTTAGCTAATGTGCTGTATGATCTTGCACTATTATGACTGTCATGGTATGAGACTTAAAATTTCCTATCTCTTTCATGTACAGAATGCATATTTCCACACATATCCATACTTATAGATCACTCCTCCTTTTAATCTCACTGCTAATATTATGCTTTCCAGGAAACACAAGCTTTTTCAAAATCCTTTAACAATTGCATAGGAAAATTTTAAGGTATTTTTCCAAGATCAAGTAGGGCAAGCAAAAAATTAAATACCAGGGCTTCAAATCCATAGATTATAATGCAGTAGATCTGGTTGAGACCCGGCAATGTGCCCATTTAAAAAATGCCAGGTGAGGGGTGCCTGGGTGGCTCAGTTGGTTGAGCAACTGCCTTCGTCTTGGGTCATGATTCTGGAGTCCCAGGATCGAGTCCTGCATCGGGCTCCCAGCTCCGTGGGGAGTCTGCTTCTCCCTCTGACCTTCTCACCTCTCATGCTCTCTCTCACTGTCTCTCTCTCAAATAAATGAATAAAATCTTTAAAAAAAAAAATGCCAGGTGATCCTCATATAGCCAGCTGGGCATTATCTGGCTTAGTCTTCAGCCATGACTCTTAGGTAAGGTATGTCATGTTGAATATAAATTGAAATGCATATAATGTGTTTAAACTTCCCCCTTGTGATGTTAGAGGAATACAAACTATCATTTTACTGCCAAGACTCAATATTTCCATCTGAGCCTGTTCTGGTCTTTAACCACACAGTAGAAAAAAAGTTTAGATTCATGATCAGTCCAACTGCTTCTTTTGCTGTTTGTCACAATCAAAAATCTGCAAGTTAGTTTGCCCTACTGCTAGGTGGCAATCATTACATCATAAAATCCTCAGTTTTTAAAAAATTTTTTAAAAGATTTTATTTATTTATTTGACAGAGAGAGAGATCACAAGTAGGAATAGAGGCAGGCAGAGAGAGAGGGGAAGCAGGCTTCCCGCCAAGCAGAGAGCTCAATGTGGGGCTCGATCCCAGGACCCTGAGAACATGACCCAAGCTGAGGGCAGAGGCTTAACCCAGTGAGCTACCCAGGTGCTCCCAAATCGTCATTTAGATAAATACATTTCAATCAAAAGTAAATTTTATTTGTATCTTCTACAGGCCATTGTACTCATAGTAAGCTGTGTAGCTAATAGAGAAGTAAAACCATATATAATTACTTTTCATTTTCACAGAAAAATTAAAAAGAATAAGATCTATGATAATGTTCAGGATACATATATTTAGTTTTATAAGGACTTTTGTTCAAATATTCACATTCATGTTTAAGAAGAAATTATACATTAAAGATGAATTAAAAATAATTTGAAAATTTATATGCCAAAGATATATATGTATACATATACAGTTGATCCTTGAACAACACAGGTTTGAACTGCATGGGTCCACTAAAACATGATTTTTTTTTAGATAAATACAGCATAGTACTAGAAATGTATTTCCTCTTCTTTATGATTCTCTTAACATTTTCTTTTCTCTAGCTTACCTTATATAAGAATATATGTATGTACATACATATGTATATAATATATAAACTATGTGTTCATCAACTGTTCAGTTTATCAGTAAGATTTCTGGTCAACAGTAGGCTATTAGTAGTTAAGATTTGGGGAAATCAAGAGTTAAGACACAGATTTTCAACTGTGTAGAGGGTTGCTGCCCCTACCCCCTGTGTTATTTAAGGACAGCTCGTTTTGTTTTGTTTTGCTTACCCCTGGCCGAGGTATTGGCTTTTGTGGTTTCTTAGAGCCCAGCTTTTTCATTGCATTATAATATTTCTTCTGTTCTTCTGTCATGAAGATGTCTTGACCCCCAAGGTAAAGAAATAAAAAATAAACCTGGTTAAAACCGTAATCATTATCTAGGTCCTTTTTGAGATCATTAAGACAGGTTAAAAATATGTAGATAGAAATAAAATGCATTTTATTACATGCCACATAGCTATAAATATGTCTTAAATAATTATTTATATATAGGCCCGTGACTCTCCATAAATAATGTGATGTGCATATATAAGATACATATATTGCCCTATAATAATTATTGCCTCAATTTTCTTTTGGTGAGGTAATCTGAATTATTTTAAACTATGTGCTGATATTTCATTTTATCTGTTACTAGTCTCATCAGGCATTGTATTGCTAGATAACCGATATATTAGGAAGGGTTATAAGAAATAAGAATACTGAATACTTTTTGGATGATTTGGCTAACATTTGGGACTCTAATGAATAGTAGGGGCCAAAACAATAGCAAAAGTAGTTTTATATTTATTTGTATTCATTTACAAATGTCATATTCCTTTAGCACAGAAAAAGAATAAAGAGTAGTGCCCTCTTATCCATGGTATCCCTTCCCATGGTTTCTGTTAACCAGAGTCAACTGTGATTTGGAAGCAGGTGACCCTCCTTCCTGCATACCATCAGAAGGTCAATAGTAGCCCAAGCTACATCACAAGGCCAATGTTATTCACCTCATGTCATCTCATCAGGTAGGCATTTTATCATCTCACATCATCACAGGAAGGGTAGGTACAGCACAATAAGATATTTTGAGGGAGGCCATATTCAAATAACTTGTATTATAGTAAATGTTCTATTATTAGTTATTTTTGTTAATCTTTGACTGTGCCTAATTTATTTATTTATTTTTAGAAAAGATTTTATTTATTTATTTGACAGACAGAGATCACAAGCAGGCAGAGAGGCAGGTAGAGAGAGAGAGGGGGAAGCAGGCTCCCCTGCTGAGCAGAGAGCCCGATGCGGGGCTCAATCCCAGGACCCTGGGATCATGACCCGAGCCAAAGGCAGAGGCTTTAACCCACTGAGCCACCCAGGCACCCCTGACTGTGCCTAATTTATAAATTAAACTTTACCACAGGTATGTATGTAGGAGCAGAAACATGTTTGCTTGTTTGTTTGTTTAAGGTTTGGTACTATCTGTAGTTTCAGGCATCCACTGGGGGTGTTGGAACACCCCCTGTAGATAAGGGGTGGAGGAGACTACAAGGAACATGTCCTACATATATCTGTGTGTGAGTTTCAAGAAACTGGTTAATTTTTTCATTCTAGTAAAGGAATTTCAACATAAACATTATGGGTGTCAACAGTATACACAATAGCATTCTACGTGTTGAGGAAATTACCAAAGATCTAGGATCCTTGACCGGAAGGACTTCTTAATTAAATAGACAACCCTAAGTTTCCACAGTAAAAATAACTAACATCTAAATGAAGTTTTTTGATCTTTTCAACACTGTAAGAGTCTAAATCTCACAAAGGATGCCTAGAAACTTTACCTGTTCTTTTAGGGTAAGCAAATTGTCTTAAAATTATCTAATTTTTACATATCCACATATTTTCTACATTGATGTGTAATATCAACTTTTTAGTTAGGGAATAAATTAGTATAATCCATGTAATTAGGAATTTATTTTGGGGAATTCATAGTTCTCAAATCCTTACTTAGTTTGTAGGGTCCTGGAGTTAAAAATGATCTGGTTATGGTTTCCCTTTAATTTTCCTGGATTAGGCAATATTCAGTTTTCTATTATATTGCATTTTTTATAAAAAAATTTATAAAATGGTAAATGGTAACCAGACTTCCCTTTCTTTCTTAATATGTTTTAATTTACTTTTATTCTAGTTGATATACAGTCTTTGGTATTTATCTTATATACTGATGCTAAGCATCAGGGAAAGCCTTCAGGCCAGTGTTAAGAGAGCTACTCATGGGTGAAGGCTGAGTACTCCAGCATGTCAGAACTTACCAGAAGAAGCCAGGAAAACACTGGGAAGACAACTATGAAATCGAGGTAAAAATCAAAGCAGCAAATTTTAACTTCTCTTAATGATACCTTAGTTGCCAAAATAATAAATGGTGGGATGAAACTAGGAGGAGATTACAGGATGCTCCAAGAGAGGCTTGTGTGGTTTGGATTAGTTTTACTGTAGATTGAGAGCTCTCATACAAAATGCATCCCTTTAAAAGCTAGATGAAAGATGCTCTATAAATCATGCTGGTCATTTTCAATATTACACACTACGTCAAGGCTGTGTTAAGAATTTGGTTCTGGTGTCAGATCATCTTTCTTCAAATCCTGTCTCTGTTGTCCTTGGGCAAGTTTCTTAATGTCTTTGAGGATAAGTCATGTTATCATTACAAGAGTAGCTATACCTTGATGGTTTGTTGGGAGGATCAACTGAGATAACACATTCAAAACACTCAGCAGAATGCCAGATACACAAGCCCTAAATAACTGTTAGTTGCTGTTACTGCCGTTGTTATTAATCTTCTTAACAAGGTTATAGTTACTGAAAGGGGGTACTTTACTTAGAATTTACCCAAATGCACCCAGGTCTATACTAGGTCTTTGTGTAAATATACTACATACTTATCACATACTTATCTCTTTTATAACTTGAGTCTATTAGTAATTTGTGTTCTAATTTTCTGAACTATGTTCTCTGATGAATTAAACCCTAAATAACATGAACTTATTAAATGAAGACATTACTTGTAAAATGATAGTTATTTGGAAAAACTAGTAAAGTGGGGTTGGTTATTATAAGAGGCATGGGTAGTTGGTAAAGTCATGAGCTGAGACCAAAGTCCCGAAGTCGAAAAGCCTTAAGCAGCAAAAATACACTAGGAAAAGAACATGGGCATTGAAGCCAAACAGACCTTTGGCTTATGACCTTCAGTGGGCCTGTCACATGATTTTAAACAAGCTACTTATCACTGCTAGACCAGTGTATACACTTTTGCGTAAAGATGCCACTTTTGTAAGCCTGTGATATGGATTAGATGAAATCATATATAATATACAAAGTATCTAGCAGAAAGACCCCTGTGCAGTAGTTTAATTAAGTCTTGGTCCTGTCTCTTAGTAGTAGGGTGGGAAGAAACCAGAAGCCATTCAGAAAAGGTCAGAAAATAAAAGGTATGCTTAAATTGAAAATGAAATACTGGAAGGAAGGTAGGGGATAGTGGTTGTTGTCAGTGCTTCTAAATTAGTAACTTTTGCCTGAGAGTAATGGTAGTAGTGTGTCAACCCACCCTATCTTCCTCCAGTGGCAATTCTTGTTGCAAGAATAATATTTAAAGCAAGGAGATTAAAGCAATTAAAGTTGTGGCTGTACTGTTCATGGTCACATGGCTTTATCTAGATATATGTCTAACTTATCCTATGCAGAGAATACTGAGGTTATCATATTTACATGCTTATATATCATATATACACATCTGTAATGACTAAAATTGAAAAAATAATTAAATTGAAAATTAGAGTATACTTTGTAAAATTATTTTCAAGATTAACTCTGAATTTTTAAAGATTCTTTTTTGAAAGGCATGAATGTATGATAACGTTAGCTAAGTGTAACTCTAAGATATTAAATGTAAGAATGGAAGATAGAATTTTAAAATATCTTTGAAAAAAAACCCTGTATTTGAAAATGTAAGCATAAATAACACTTAACATTTACTAAATTTTTCTTCGAATTGTGAATATCAATCACGTACAATGGTGACATTTCAGACATTTCACTGCATGTACCTCCATCTTTTCTGAGATGCTAAGTCAATATCTAAAATCACTCTTTGAATTCTACCCCTTATCTTTGAAAGATATCTTTATAGCCACAGTACATCAGTCAACTTTGACAGGAAAACTGAGACTTCTTAGATGCTTTATCTCTTACAAATTACAGACCATACTGTAGCTTCTTTTTTTTTTTTAATATTTTATTTATTTATTTGACAGAGAGAGATCACAAGTAGGCAGGCAGGCAGAGAGAGAGAGGGGAGGAAGAGGCTCCCTGCTGAGCAGAAAGCCCGATGTGGGACTCGATTCCAGGACCCTGAGATCATGACCTGAGCTGAAGGCAGAGGCTTAACCCACTGAGCCACCCAGGTGCCCCGTACTGTAGCTTCTACCCCCTACAATCTCTTCATTGAATATATGCCATATTCTCCATTGCTGATGACTAATTTGAAGACACAAGTGTGGTTGAGGTAGTGGGTAATGCAGAGTCTGACCTAGTCTTTGGTCTCTCTCCAATCATTCTATACATCATTACTGGATTAATTTTTTCTTTCTATTTACTTTTATTTTTATAATTTTTTTTATTATTATGTTCAATTAGCCAGCATATAGTACATCATTAGTTTTTGATGTAGTGTTAAGTGATTCATTAGTTGCATAAAACACCATTTTTTAAATCATAACCTAGTTTTCAGGGTCCCTGGAAGACAAGACTCCAGTTGGATCTGTGATAAAGCTACTTCCTTACTGTCAGATGACATGCAAGTAACACAACATCTCTGATAGTTGGGTGGGGGGCCTGAGGGGAGGATACAATGGCTTTTAGATTTGTTTTAAACCTGACTATGATTACGTATGTGGAGTACTTTACACAGAATCAGACGCATCATCAAATCTTAACAAACGCCAATGTCCTGATTATATGTGTTCCCTTACTCAAAATACCTCAATGACACACCAGCTCCTCCTGAAAAAGATCTAATATGGCTTTTCAGATCTGCTCTCAAGCAAGATCTCATCTTTTTCTACTTCTTTTCTCAAAACGCCATTGTTACTAGAGGGGAGAAGCATGGGGAGACTGGTCAAACAGGGCACGGGGATTAAGGAAGGTACTTGTGATGAGCAGTGGATGTTGGATAGAAGTGTTGGATCATGCTAATATTACACTGTATTTAACTAATTGGAATTTAAAGAAAAAGTTTTAAAAAACAAACAAACTCCATCTCAAAACTCCACTCAAACTGATGAAAGGCTATTCATCCTGGATTGTCTTTTTTGTCAGCCCTATGCACGTACTCACACATTCCTCTACCCTTCCTGTGGATTATTCACCCTTCTGCCTCTCAGTTGCTACAGACCTTCTTATTCGTCTTCCAAGGCTTACAATTGTCATATAAGTCATACGACTTCCTATGGCTGTTTTTTCTATTTGTATCTATTTTTTCCTCTGACCACACACTTATTTTTCTTGTTGTCACTGCTTTGTTAACTTCTCTTATTACACTTATCATTATTTCATATCGTAGTATTGGGGCACATAGCATAGTAGAGGACCTAAAAAATATATGCGGAATATGGAATCAACTGCTGACTCTGTCCAAAACTATCATTTACTTACTAGATGCATGATCTTCACTAAATCACTTAACCTCTCTGTGGCTGCCCACATTTATAAGACAAAGTCTATAATAATAATAATACATTTTATGGTGGATGTTTTAGGTTGAATTGTGTTGGATATCAAATTAAATATTTTAAGTCTCAACTGCTGGTACTTCAGAATTACCTTATTTGGAAATACAGTCATTGTAGATGTAATAAAATTAAGGTGAGGTCATACTACAGTAGGGTGTCCCCTTAATCCAATATGACCAGTGTTTTTTAAGAAAAGGAAAGAGACATAGAGAGGGAGCACACCAAGTGACCATGGAGGCAAAGACTGAAGATATACTCTGCAAGCCAAGCAACACTTGAGCGACAGGATGCTGCAAGATCCAAGGAAGGATCCTCCCCTAGAGGCTCTGAAGAGAGCATGGCCCTGCCAACACTTTCATTTGGAACTTGTAGCCTCCATAACTGAGAGAGAATAAATTTCTGTTGTTGGAAGCCACCAGTTTGTGGTAGTTGGTTACAGGAGCCCTACGAAATTAATACAGCTGATGTGAAGGGTAATGAAACAGAAATCTCAGGAGAGTATCCCACTTGCAACACTTCACAAATCCTAATTTCCATTACATGTATCATTTCTTCTGCTGTAATATATAAACTCCCTGAGTTCAGGAACCATATCCTGTGTTGTGCATCAAGGGCCACCCCACTAAATAACCCATGGAACAGTGGCTCAGAGAATGAATGAAATGTGTTTTGAATAAATCAATAATTAGTGCACTAATTTTTAATTATTCATTATTAGTCCTTTATAGGGAACACTGAAAAACAAACTGAATACTTGCCATATTGCATAAAAATAGTCATAACTTAGGAGATAATTACTTTCTATGCAGATATGAATGAGATTGAACCTATTTGTACTGTATTCTGGCCAATTACTGGAAAATTAAATGAAGTTCTAATGAAGCTAATTACTAATGGATATCAAATTAAATTTCATATTATGTTTTTAAGAAAATAATCATTCATATTTTCAGTGCATTATAAAAACCTTAAAATACTTATCTTTTTTTTCTGTTGGTTGAAATTATCTATTATGACACCAATGAATAAGTTCAAAGTGAAGAATGACCCAAAGATGATAAAGATGACAAAATAAATATACATGTAGAGGTTGTATTCATATATGGGCTGCTCGTCTACCTATAAAATTAACAAAAGTTAGCAGTATGTTGACAATAACATTAATCATTTTCTTTTTCACATGGTTTGATGAGTTAATCCAAATAGTTCTATCCTAGGTGAACATAGCTTTTCAGAAGCCATAGCATTTTAAGGATCAGCATGAACTTTCTTAAAAATTTATTCAACATTAAGTAAATATTTATTACATGCTTACTATGTACACGAATATAATCTTCAAATGACTACAAAGGGCTTAATCATACATAGTACTTGTTCTCAGATTGGTAGGACATAGTAACTAAGTGACCTAATGTATTCTATCTCCAGAAAAAAAGCTATAAAAGAGGTAATAACCATATTTATAGAAATTTTGCTAATTTTTTTTTTCATTTGATGATAGAAATGTCTTCAACAGATTTAACTTTCTTAGCATGGAGCTCATTTCACATAAACTCATCCACAGCATTTTAAATATAAAAACAATAAAACTGTGAATAAAATTTTTAAAACCCATGAATAACATCTGTTATTGAATTTTTATTTTGATAAACATATTTATTGAGGACTTATCATTCCCAGGCTGTATAAGGTCCTCTACTTACAATTTTTTTTTTTTTGGAACCTCAGAACAATGCCATGAAGTGGACATTGAGTTTTTTTGTTTTTTTTTTCAGTCCATAAACAGGCTGAGAGAGGAAAAGCGATTTGTTCAAAGTCAGTTGCAGAGCTTGTACGATACAAGAGCACCAGATTTTGAGCAAGCTCTGTCACCAAACGCTGCACGCATAACTGCTAGTCTTTTATTAGGTGCAAGTTCTTCATTTTGTGTGTACATACCAATGGATCCTTGGAACTACTATTTGAAAATGGCCCAACTAAACTAAGGTGCTTTAAAAATTGTAAGTTTAGTGTAATATTGACCAATACTTACATTAACATTATCAACAGCTGCATACATAATATCCATCCATCCCTTAAATGTTGCCTATAACAATAAAATCTGAATGTGAGGTTCACACTCTACAATAGCCATACATGAGTTTAATCCACTTATTGTTACATTTAGTGACACCAGATCACTGGGCTTTACTATATTTCAAAATATCAATTTAATATAACGTGCTCTATCAAGAACCAAAAGGAAATAGTCCTAAGTCACATTCTAAAACTCAGTCCTAGTTAATTATTTCCAGGTTGTTACAATGCCAGCAAAGTTTGCACATGAACTTTTATTTTTCCAGAGGAGGGGAATTTTATGAACAAGGTAGGAAAGATTATTTTTTTTCGTCCATTTCTAAAGGATCCTCTGTGATAGTAGGATGTTATTCTCATTCCCATGTAGTATAAAACTGTCAGTCCAAAAACTCTTTATTTTTGGAGGAACATTCATATGGTGCAAATGGTAAGGAGCCACATGACACTGAAACTCATTTATGAATTAATGACTCTCAAATGCAACAGAATCTTTGCTTCTTAACTCATGTTTTATAAGCATATGTTCTAAGAAAGACCAAGTCTTCCTTTTAAAGTCACAAAGTACCTTATCTTTAATTTCTAGGTATAGATTACTTGAAGAATGACTTCTATCCCTCACCTAGTGTCTACTGAAACATCAAGCATTTGTGACAGGGCTCACTTACAACTTGAAGTAGAGAGAGGTAACCAAGTCCAACATTATCAAAGTTCACCTTCAAGTTCTTCCATCGTACATTTTGACTAATATTCATCAGCGCGTAACAGTCAGAACGATTCTGAACAAGGTTTGTTGGAAAGCGCGACCCATCTGTGGTATTAACACACTCATAGAACTTCCCAGCAAACAAATTTACTCCCATGATGCTAAATATTAGCCAGAATATAAGACATACTAGTAGTACATTCATGATGGAAGGAATTGCACCTATGAGGGCATTCACGACCACCTAGTAGTCAAAAGAAAGAAAAGGATGATTAGGAGTAGGAAAGATGTTAAATGGTCAACATTAACGAAACACAATGCAGAATTAAATCAGAAAAGCCACCCATACATGTTTAAGACACCAAATCACCAACCAACATGTATTAATTGAATGTCTATGCTCAGTAGTATGCCAAGCAAGAGAGAATGAGACAGGAGCCCTGTGAACAAGTTTACTAAAATACATGATAAACGCACATTGAAACTATAGCCACAATGCAAAACAAAGTAACTAAAATTATACCACAGCTTAAATAAATGAAAAAATAAAAATAATAAACCAAAAACCTGATATATGTAAGGTGAAGTCGTAAATCTGCATACTCTAGGGGGAAAAAAAAGAAATTTCTAAGTATGAATGATAACAAATAAAATGTACATTTAAATGTACATTTAAAGGTTCATGGTCCTGGAATGATCAGTGTGAAAATTCTCCCATATATAGAAATGATTGGTATATATAGGCTGGAGTTGAAGTTAGGAGTTTTTTATTATATGAACCCTTTCTACTTAGTTGGTTCTGCTAATTGTGTGATATGTGAATTCAATTAAGACCTTGGGACCTCTGTTTCTTCATCAGCTAAATAAGAGCCACCTTTTCAAATTTATTATTCTAAGTCTAAATATACTTTATATATAAGTCCTTGGCTAAATATAGACAATGCTTGCCTCAGTTAAAATATAAATGAAGTAGTTTATCTTTAATAGTTCCTTTATTTCTGCTTGTTGGCATTTCCATTGTTACTAACAACCAGAGCCTCTTGCCACTCCAGTTCTCCTGCGTGCAGACTATCGTAGCATTTATCACTCTCCAGATTTTCCTAATTCCTTCACCTTTAAAAACCTACCTGTTTTTTCATACTTCAGCTCTAGTCAGAATTTGAGTCCAAATGTTTTAAAGTCTAATTTGTTAAATAAGAGCATTGTGTTTCCTCTCTTTTCCAAATGGTGAAACACTGAGCATCTCTGGCTACTTCTGAGATTGTCGAGAGCAGGAGTTGGCAAACACTTTCTTAAATATTTTTTAGGCTTGCAGGGTTATATGGTTTCTGTTGCAATTATCCAATTCTTTTCAATTCTTATTTTTTTTAAGATTTTATTTGTTTATTTGACAGAGAGAGAGATCACAAGCAGGCAAAGAGGCAGGCAGAGAGAGAGGAGGAAGCAGGCTTCCCACTGAGCAGAGAGCCCAATGCAGGGCTCGATCCCAGGACCCCGGGATCATGACCTGAGCCGAAGGCAGAGGCTTTAACCCACTGAGCCACCCAGGCGCCCCTTCAATTCTTATCCCCCCCACCTTTTTTAAGATTATTTATTTATTTATTTGTCAGAGAGAGAGAGAGAGAGAGACAGAACACACAAGCAGGCAGAGTGGCAGGCAGAGGTGGAGAGAGAAGCAGGCTCCCTACTGAGGAAGGAGCCCGATGATGGACTCAATCCCAGGACACTGGGATCATGACCTGAGCCGAAGGCAGCGGCTCAACCAACTGAGCCACCCAGCCATCCCTCTTATTCTTATATAAATTATAAACAAATGGATGTGGCTGAGAAGTAGTAAAACTTCGTTTAGAAAACAGACAACAGGCCTGTGGGCTTTAGTTTGTTGACTTCTGGCCTAGAGCAATAGTTATTACCCTGGGGTCTGTGGTCCTGTTGAGGTTCCACGTGAGCATGTAATTTTATGAAAAACATTATAGGTCTATTTTTTAATGAAGAGATGATTCATATTTTTATGAGATTCTGATAGCATACACGACACTAAAAGGGTTAGGAAGAACAGGAGTAGAGAATGAAGTTCAAAGTGGCCAACTCTTGTTCAAGCCTGTGCTTTCATCCTACTTCCTACTGCCCTCCCCACTGAGCTTCTCACCGAGGCACACTGATCTTCTAGTCATTGCTCAAATATGCCTTGCACACTCAATCCCGTGCTTCTCCCCCCAGGTAGCATCTCTGCCTGGAATGTCTACACGCCTGGGATTTGGGCCCACTCTTTCAGTCACGGCTCCAACGTCAACTCCTTGTGAGGCCTACCTAGACTTCCCCAGGCAGCCATTCCAGACTCCACATTTCTGTAGTGCTGCGTGCTTCCTACTTCAGAGCTGATGTCCTAGAATAACTACTGTTCCCCCCCACTGTCTCTCCACGATTTTTGTCCCTATTCCGTGTTGAGGGACTGGGTCTCTTCACCATGGTACTCTTCTTATAGCATAATAACTGACACATTGGTGTCTGAAATGTTTGCTGAAAGAATGTGAGCAACAGTGGGTCTCTGAGGGGGATAGGTCCACATTGGTCAGATAAGAAGTCATTTGAGAAAGTCAATAAGCTTAAGGGCCTCAAGACTCAAAGGAAACTAACTACAAAATGCCTCAACTTTTACTTATTCTTCAGAATCATCCTGCAGTGTGAAGGAACATATCTTTTTGCATGGTTAATAAATACTAAAGAGACACAGCTGGTCCTCCAAATACATTAAACCATTTTCCTGCATCCAGGTCAGCTCTATTATAGATAAAGAACAAAGAGCACAGAGGATAAAATAATGGGCTAGCTTAATTGCTAAGGGAAGTAGTTTTGTAGGGGAAAGTATATTCTTCATTCATGAAAATGCAGTATACTGATACTGAGTCCAGAAATTGGTTGTAAGTTCTAGACAGATTGTAACATTCCACCAGTGCTCAAAAAATGAAGTTAATGCCAATGGATTCCAATACCACCTTTCTGCATAATAACATAAATTGTAATTTTTCAATTCTTATATGACAAAAAGGGTTAATTTACGATTTTTTTTTGTATAATCATGATCTCTCATAGCCATTGTACACTGGATTTCTTAAGCTGTAGACAGTCACAGTTTAGCAGAGATAACACTGAAGATCTGCTAGACTAAAAGATACCCGATAGTTTCAGATTACCTAAGGTTTCAGATTTCCAAGCCCCATCCCAGAGTTTATGAGTCAGTGTGTCTGGAGCAGGACCTGGGCGTTTGGATTTCTAGTAAGTTCTCAGATGATGCTGATGGGTGGTCTGAGGATGGCACTTAGAGAAGCAGTGATATACACTAATCTGCATGTAAGTTATTCAGGGACTACCCGCAAAGAGGAAGTCAGAAAAACAAGTAAAAAACATTATAACAAGGATTTTGTATGTCTGAACAAAGAGGGAGATTGCTCACTTAAGCCCTATGGTGAAGAGACAAAGCAAATTTAAACTGAGTCTTATTGGCCGGGTAGGTATCTCTCTGCTCTGATGATGAGTCAGGGCTGCGACAGGGCTAGGAGAAGCATTCCCAGCCCAGAGAACAACAGAAGCATGAGAAAGCAAGTGTGAAGCTGGTAAAAAGGAAACTCGAGGAGAGCAGCAATAAAGGAGGATATGGACTAATTAGAGAGAACAAGGTTACTGTCCTCCATGTATTTTATGAAGTTGCTGGATTAATGCAGCTCTTAAAGCTAAGTTGCTACTAGTCATTATTTGTCTCACCTTGTTTGTGTCTACAAAATGACCTCTTTTCAGGCACCATGCAGCCTAGTACAAATTATGTAAATTCTCTGAGATTTAGTTTTGTCAAGTGTAATTTTGGGGGTAATTCTATTTTCGGTGAAACATTTATTTTAAGGATGAAATTTAAGGTGGTGGCTGATGCCACTTCACTTCCCTGTTTGTTGGTATGATCCCTACCTGTGGTAGCTCTTAAAAAAAAATTTTTTTTTAAGATTTTATTTATTTATTTGGCAGAGACAGAGAGTACGAGCAGGGGGAGCAGCAGGCAGAGGAAGAAGCAGACTCCCTGCTAAGCAGGGAGCTCGCTGTGGGGACTCAGTCCTAGGACCCTGGGATCATCACCTGAGCTGAAGGCAGACACTTAAGTGACAGAAGCACTCAGGTGCCCTATAAAATATGAGCATCGGATACAGGCAAGTCCTTGATAACTCGTATATGGGAGCTGTTATCAGAATGAGTGTCCCCTTCACATTCCTAGCACAGAGCAGATTTTCATTTAAAAAAGGATTAGTCACTTATTTGGATTATTGCCTAACAATATTATGTGAAGGAGGCTTTACTGTATTTGATTTACTCTTTGTTAAACTATATGCACTGAATACTATGTATATGCATATGCACACACACATATATAAGCAGTCCATCTATAGGTAGATATATGTACATATAAATATAAACAGTCCATAATTCCTACATACTTTTTTTTTATATTTTATACTCAATTTAGAAATTAAGGATATTAGAAAGTTTAGCATTTTCTTACCCTCATTCCTTCAAATCTAGATAAAGCTCTTAGAGGTCTTAAAGCTCTAAGCGTCCTAAGGGATTTGATGGGGCCAAGGTCTGAGTAGCCAAGAGTGCTTGCAACTAAAGTAACCAAAGAAACCTACAAAAAAAGAAAATTTTCATTAATTATTTCAATGTAATAGTAAAGCACAAAGAGGAGAAGTCAATTTCAAAGATCACTAAGAGCAGATCAACAAGAATAGTATTTTATATATCGAGCTGTCTAGTCATTGCCTAAAAATAGATAAGATGAATGAATGCTTTTCTAAGGAAATAGCTTTAAAGGAAGGCTAATGAAAATAAAAAGAAATAGAAAGAAAGTAGGTTATTTCTTATATCTGAATAAAAATCACATAAACTTTTCATAATTTCTGTCATCAATGATTATGTACTTGCTTATTAATTCTGAACCTATGCTGGATATATTTAATCAGATATGCTCTTCATTTAATTTGAGCAACTTATGTTACCCACCTATGCTGTACATTTAATTAGAGCAACTATAGAAATTTCAATTATAATAAAACCTAGGGCATAACAAAGTGTGTGATTCTGAAGTTAAGTCATAAGAGTGTGGCTCTGACTCAATCAGATCTAAGTCCTAGTATAAACAGTATTCAAAAGCATTTTGAAGACTCATGATTTTCAGATGGAGCTAATTCCCCATAAGATTGTTCTGCCTTGCAGTTTCTCAGAACTGGCACCAAAGATTTACCTAGTAATAGTGGGAGAAATCTCAATTGTACTGAAGAGAGCACAAGAGTATGTGATCTCCTTGGCTTTACAATAAACCAAGGCATACAGAACTTCATCATGTTAGACCTGCCACAATGACCATAACCAGTACCCAACAGAAATTTGTGTTCTTATAAACTATCTTTGAAGAAAGAACATGGACAGAAATAAAATCAATACACATTCTGGTAAGAGTGTAACGAGCTCCTCAATGACCTTACATCTTGATCTGAAAACACATTCAGTCTCTGAGTAGGTTCCACTTAAAATATTCATTTGTTTTTACACTGTGTGGCAGGAAGCAATGTCTAAAAACAATGGCCGGTATATAGCTCTTCATTATGAATTAAGTACTGACTAAAAGGTTAAAATTTTCCAGGGAGGACTAGGAATACTTGAGAATCAACCTCCTTATATTTAACTATCGACAGAGTAGAAAAATTTGTTGCTCACAAGTTCACTGCTCCTGCTATCAGAGATAAGGAAACTGATTATGAATCAAGATGTGTTGTTTTGTTCTTTCTCATCCAGTTGCTTCCAAATGTCTTCATATAACATTATATATTATATGACTTATTTTTAAGTCTTTATGCTGCATATCCAATAGAACTAATCCTCCCTCATATCATTCTGAAATTCACCCAAGTCATTCAGGTCCATTATTTTCCAGTTAAGTACACTTAAGAAAATATGCTCTTTAATTAGAAGAGCAAGTATTCCTTTTAATCAGGAAAAAAAAAAAGTTTTAAAATGTCTATTATAATGGGAATAACCCCTACAGAAATGGCAGACCTAATTTCCAAACCACTGTTAGGTGTCACGATATTGAATATAATAGATACACATTATTGAGAAAATTAGAGATTACTCTGTAAATGAGAAGATATATACACATCTATTTATCTATGCATACATATGTATATACACAGTATATGCCAATACTGATGACTAAGGCTCAGGCAAACAAATTTCAGTTCAAGAAGCCTATGGAAACCCAACAAGTCCATCCTGTGAATATCAAATCAGATCAGTGGTTCTGAAACCTCAGTATGCATCAGAATCATCTGGAAGGCATATAACAACAGTGTTCTGGGTCCCAACACCTGAGATTCTAGTTGAGTAGATCTTGGGTAGGTCCTGAGAAATGCATTACTAATATGTTCCCACCAATTTGTTGGTTCAGGGATCATACTTTCAGAACAACGCTAGATAACTGGTTCAATTCTTGGGAAATAAAATCTCAGGTCCTCCTCCAAATCTGCATCACTAAATTTGCATCTCTACCAGCAAGAATGTTGTGTCCAGCTTTGCTCTCCATGCTGCATTATAAAAATATTACATATGGAATATATATGATATATAATATATAATATGCATTTGTGTTTGCATGTTCATTTACTTACTTTTTCTCAAAATATTAAATAACAGTTCAAACTGAAGCTATATATCTGAGTTCTGTATATTCCATACTCTGAAATATTAAGGTTCACCAGTTCAGATTTTCAAATACAAGACAAAATAATTTCTTCTATGAAATGCACTTATCTCTTTCTTAACCTAAAATAAATTCAATTGTATGTATAAACTTTTATTTTCGCAGACAGAGTGATGAAAATAATTATGTTTGTGATAATATTATTAAAGGTTTTTCAATATCTTAAATATTTTATACCTTTTAAAAGACCCAATTGTATTAAATTGTTAAGAGAAAAGAAAAGAAATAACCTACATTCCTTCTATCATTTCTTCTTATTTTAGTTAGCCTTTCTTTAAATCTATTATGTTACAAAAGCATCTCTCTTACCATTTTTTTTTCTAGCCAGTAACTAGATAACATATATATAAAAGTAAATTAAAGAAAAATCAATATGGGATCACTAATATAAGGTCTCAAAAATTACAGATCTCACAGAGAAAGCCTAAGAGAACTTAAGAGGTGTAATGTATAGCTACACTAAAAAAAATTGTTTTTGTACATCACTGATAGAGAAAACAAAAGTGTTATTGCTTGTAATATTTTATATATTGAGCTGTTAAAAAAGAGTTCACTGAGCTTTCTTTTTCTTTTTTCTTTTTTTTTTCTTTATGTTGTTATATCACCATACAGTATATCATTAGTTTTTGGATAACAGCTGAGAAATTGAACTTCTGAATAGATATGATGAGTTTTGGTTTAATTTTGTAGTCAGATTTGGCTATTTATAGTCATGCTTACTTGTAATTTTGATTTCTATGAATGATGCCATATTTATCTTTTCTGTAAAGTTTGATGATGCAAACTCTTGGTTAAACAAGTGTTAGCACACTTGTTAGCACTATAAACATTTGCATGTTGTCCTCTAATTCCACATCAGATGGAAGACAAACCTCTAAGAATTGTAATACAATTCCCTAGCCACAAAGACTAGATTTTGTAAAATCTAGAATTAGTAGAAGAAGGAAAAAAATAAATCATCCTAAGAAAAATTAGATGGGGAAGTTGAGGTCATGAATTAATTTAAGATAGCAATTTAAAATAATATAAAATATAATAATATAATTATATGTTATATATTATTAAATTATACCATTAAGATATAAAATAAAGTTGAATACACTAAATAAGAATAAATTGAAAAACTGGATGTTGTACCATTTCTATTTGAGATGCCTTAATCTCACAGTTGTTTTAGGATTCCTTTCCTATTTCAATAAGATTCCTAAAAAATATTTTGCTCTATTAAAAATAATACATAAGCTAAAGCATTCTTATATATTTTCCTTCACCCAAATATTGAACGGTTCTCTGAATTTATTACTTGAAATTGCCAATGCCTATTTTTCTGCTTCCCTGCCACTCTAGAAATAAAGGGTAAGTTGGATGTTTCAGGTGGGGACAAGAGTTCCGACTCATTTTGGTTTTCCCTCTCCTTGTGACAGAGATAAATATTTTGAAATTCCATGGCCCCCAACTCCTTAACCCAGAGTTGTTAAGTTTTAGCACAATCATTTTACATAACTCTCAGCTAACATATCAGACAACTTGATATATCCCTTATCCTCTTTTATTTTCTAATTTTATATTGTAAAAAAAAAAAATCAATGTTTTATCTTTTTAAATTGTGCCTCTGCCCATTTCCAGTTCCACTGTCACCACCTAGTTTTTCATTTTGTTCTTCTTCCCAGTAAAATGATATTCAAATCATATATATATATATACACGTATATAAAATCACGTTTTCTCTGATTGCAGAAAACTTATGCACAAGTAAATTATAAAGGTTAGAACAGTACAAGAAAGAATTCATATTCACTGCAGAATTTCTCTTTTAATACTCCTTATAGAAATAGTTCTACTGGCTATATTAATATTTCAAAAACACCCATAAAGCTATAGTCTGAAAGTACAAAAAGCTAACCAAGATTAAAATATGATAACAAACAACATTAGTGAAGGTTCTCAGAATACTTTTTTGTAAGATAAATCCAACCTACATCAACAATTAAGAAATCCAGCCAACACCAGGCATTGGTGAAATACGTTTTATAACCATAAGCTACCCATTTTAGAAGCATTTCCAGAATGAAGACGTAAGTGAATATCTTGTCAGCATACTCCAGGATAATCTTAATGGTCTTTTTCTTTTCAATATATATATCTTCAAAAGCCTGTGAAGATAGTATTCAAATTTCAATTCACACCCAACTTAAAGCTTATGATTCATAACAAAAGCAGGAAATAAAATTCTGATGGAGAATTCTATGCTAGAAGATAAATACTATAATGTGCTAGCTGACTTTCTTCTGGTTTACAACTACTAGGTAACACTTACTTCTGGACTTCTTACTAGTATGTACCACTGGTCACCACAGGTTAAAGGGTGCAAAGAATAGAATTATCTATACCCCTCTAAAAGAACCATGATCTCGGATAATTGCATTAATTTCTACTTCATCTGACTCCTGTTTATCTCTCTCCAAATTGGATGAATCCTGATAAGGTAGGACATGATTCCCAGATCAGCCGGTCACATATACCTTTCTCACCCTGTACTCCCCTTCACATCCACTAGTAGGATTTGGAAACCTCCTTCAGTTTTTATATGCTTTTATGTGTTTCCAGTGCCTAGAGCTGTGTCAAAAACACAGCAGGAGGTAAGGGAGTTTGCTGAATGAATAAGCAGTAAGTCTTGATGCTGAGTACTCTTGATGCCTGGGTACACCTTGTTCTGACTAGTCCCAGGGCTGGAAACAAGACACAGCCTGCAGGGCTTCTGGCTAACTTTCATGGATATGGCTAACTTCCACTTCCATGGATATGGGAGCAAGAGGAAGGACATCATTATGTGAGCTCTATCCAATGTGGGGTGTAGGTTTTACTGTTACTCATTTCAGCTACCACTCATTTGTTTCTACACAGTGTGTCCTCTCCTTTTTGAGGATCCAGAAATCAGTGAAAAGATATGGTTGGTTTTGATTTTAGAGCTCAGTTATGCGTCTGTCATATAATAGCTTTTGGACATGAAACAACTTTTACACTCTCCACACAACTTCCTCATTGGCAAAATAAGCAAAATGATCATTATTTCACAGGATTGTTTAAAGATTAAGTGAAAAAACTATACAAAGATCTTGAAATATAATAAATATGTACTAACTTGGTTGTTACCTTTTGTTTGTTTTATAGGCAAGTATTTTAAAAATCTAGCTTAGTTAGCAAACTATGAGTAAAACAGCCGTTTCTTAAAATACCTTTCCCTTTTCTTCATCATATGATTCATTTGAATTTCAGTTTTCTTTAAAGATTTTATTCACTTACCTATTTGAGAGAAAGAGAGAGCACCAGAGAGCGCACAGGTGCCTGAGCGGGGGGAGGACCCGAGGGAGAGGGAGAGAGAGATTCTCAAGCTGACTCCAGGCCAAGTGGGGAGCCCAACATGGGGCTTGAGCTCACGACCCTGATATCATGACCTGAGCCAAAAATCAAGAGTCCCACACTGAATCGACGGAGACACACAGGCCCTCCAGAATTTTAGATTTGAGAGTTCCTTTTGCCAAAAAATGTTATCTTCCTTTTTAGACATTTTGAATAAGGGATTACTCTGAACTTTTCATTAATTTTTTTTTTCTCTCCTTTCTAACAGTCTCAGTCACATGTGTGACTCAGCATGGAATAAACTTCTAGTAGCGATTAGGAATACAAGATAGTGTAGACGTTGTTGAGATTCCTACTTGCATTTCACTGGACAAGAGGAGTACCATTTTCCTTACTCATCTCTGTTTTAGGAGAGGCCATCCCTGCAGCCTCTGAGCATCCTTGCATGTCCTTGTTCAGTACGCCAAGAAGGCAAGGCCCTGACTTGCTCTTTACTCAGTGCTGCTTTTGCAACAGGCAACTGTGGGGGATGAGACAGTGTCTCTGTCTGGGACAAAAAAGCAAGGCTGCTTTCTTTAAAAGGATAGGGTTTCCTAGGGCACTTGGGTGGCCAACTCTTAATTTTGGCTCAGGTTATGATCTCAGGGTTGTGAGATGGAGCCCCACACTGGGCTCCAAGCTGGGCATGGAGCCTGCTTAAGATTCCTTCTCTCCCTCCCTGCCCCTCCCTTCCTTTAAAAAAAAAAAAAAAAGACTCCCTAATTTAGTGCTCTTCAGCTGTGATGCTACTCCATTGTGTGTGTGCCATTAATTTATCCCCATACCAGGCCCTCATGAGACTTGGGGACAAGACGAACCAACACAAACATGTTGACGTTCATATGGGTTTCAATGTCATGAGTATTAAAATCCTTCGTCTCTGACTTGGAGGTCTCATATACTCTAGCAGCATCCATGAAATAGCAAAAGGTTAACTTCTTATAAAAATTCAACCCCAGATCCATCAAGACTATCTGTGACACAATTTACAAAGTTCTTGAGTACTCTGTTTCTAGTATAATGGAATTTCCAGTGGTATCACTAGCTGAAACTGGGCTTATAATGGTTCATCTCTCTTCGTGTCTGCAGGAAAGAAAAACGAGAAAAGTCTCAGGGAGTTTGTAACTCTCCCAGGTCCCTTTCAACTCTCATAGAAAGTGCATGGTATATGTACAAGAGTGAGAAATGCGTCCACTGTCACCCTAAAGTTAGTTTGTTTTGTAAGATGCTTCATAAGCTGGCACTGCCTATCTTTGTCAAAGTACCTGTGGCCACCACTCTCCTCCCTGTATTCGCTCTTCCTCTAACGTCACTTTCTAAAATTTGGAAACTTTTAATTTCCTGAATGCCTCATGATGTTTTATGCTTCCTTGTCCCCGTACACTTGTTCTTCAGCCCACCCCATCTGGCTGGAAAATCCTAGTCATCTTTCTAGATCTTGCAAAACGTCAACTACTTTCCTGAAATTCCAAGCGGACAATTGTTCATCTCTTGCTAAAGAGTTTTTATCAAGCATATTCTTCACTTAGAAACACATCCCAGCTCTGTAATCACTTGTGCTTTTCTCCCCAGTGGTCTCTGAACTCCTTGAGAAAAGCACCCGGATCTTAACCACCTTTGCATTCAGGGAAGCATGTACTACATGCCTGGCATATAGTAGTGCTTACCAAATATTTACTGAACTAAACTAAAATTTTGTCCTAGCCCTAATCATAGGAATTCATTTTGAGGTAAAACAATTTTCATATTTTATCCTCCAATTCGTTTATTAAAAATATTGACTCGAGTGATTGTTTTGGGTGTCCTATAACTTACCAGGGCTCCACTGCTGAGCAGGATCATGAGAACAATAAAGCTTTCGAACCAACTGTGTTCAACTATTCTGTAGCATGTTTTCCTGATGTTCCACCAGATTTTTCCTTTCCCTGACTCTATGTCAACTTGGCAGCATGGGAACCTCCGCACACAACCTGACAAGAGAGACAGGCATATAAAATATTGATATTCAGAATAAGTAGAATGCTTATGCAAAGCTTTCCCCGTGATGGCCGTCAACTGAATAATTTCTAACACACGGCAGTTTTGAGTAGATTCAACTTGAATAGATTCAACTAAAAATAACTTGTCAGTTATTTCTAACTTAAAATGTATTTTGTATTTCCTTGATTTCTCATCATTCTCTTCCTAAGTGTTTAAACTACTTATTTTTTTTCATTATTGCCGTCCTAATACTGTGCTGTTACATGAGGAACAAGGAATGAATGAATATTAAACTAAAATCTGAGGTCAAAATGCTTTTCAAGATGTTCTTTGCTGATAAATTAATTTTCCTTGATGTGGAGCTCATCTACAATTTTCAGATACTTCCACTCTATAAAGAAAAGGCTCTTCACAAAGCTTTAGTCCTAGATAATATTAAGAAAATTGGTATAAGTTTCTAAAATTATGTTCAGAAGAAATCAATTTTAATTAGAAGATGCAGGGAAAACTGTTTCACGTACTTTATGTTAAAAACAACTCTGCCTTTGGAACTCTAGGCGTAGAACATGCTGCTATGATAAGCTGAGGAACATTTTATTTCCAATGTTTTAGGTTTATTCATTCATTTCTCCATTAAACATTTATTGAATATCTTTTATATACTTAGTTGTGTATACAGTTTCCTCAGGGGATTTATTTTTGGTTTTGGTTAGGCAGATAGGGATAGAAATAAATGCGGGCAACTGGATAAGCCAACTAAAATCATAAATATAAAGGGGCTATTTTGGTAGCATGGAAAAAGTCTACCTCAGCTGGCTCGTTTGCTGAGGAGAGACTGGAAGAGTCTTTGTGGAAGAGACAGAGCCTGAATTGAGTCAAAGAGAGTATTTGCCAAAAAGAGTTTAAGTGGAACTGTAGGCCAAGAAGGAGCAAAATGTATTGTACATAGGAATTATGAGCAGTTCAGAATTGCGATGAAAGCAAAGTGTACACAGTAGACATGGGTGAGAAATGAGGTTAGGGAAATTGGTCAGATTATGTAAAGCATTTTCCCCCACATAAAGGAGTTTGGTCTATATCCTATAGACGTTGAGGAGTAAGTGAAGGGTTGTTAGCAGAGAATGATACAAGCAGATACAACTTAAATTGATGTCTCCAACAGCTGAATGGAGGATAAGTTGGAAGAGAAAAAAAGAAAAAAAAAAAAGAGAGAGAGAGAGAGAGAAAAAAAAAAAAAACAAACGTGAAGTTATGGGAAGATTCTGAGCCAGAAAACCATTTGGAATTCTGGTCCAGTAGTCTTAACAAGAGGGATAGGTCATGGCAACTCTAGTTAGGAACTAGAACAATAATAGATTGAAGACATGTCTGGCAGGTAAAATCAGCAGGATTTAGTGACTTGTTGGAGATGCGATATAAGAGAAAAGGAGGATCCCAGAACAGCTGGATAAATGTCAAGAGTGACATGAACAGGTGCAGGAGCTACTTGGCAGGTAAGGAGTTTGGGATGCTGGTTGGGACTTCCAAATACAAATATCCTGTAGCTATTTGGAGGTCTGAATCTGACACTCGGGAGGAAAGACTGGGCTAGAAAATGAGAGTTTTTGAGGTCACACACACACAAAAAACATATTTTAGGACCAACCAAGAAAAGGCTCATAGACAAGGGCCAAGTCTGGAGCATTCCAAAACAGTAATATTAAGAAACAATGCAATGGCATGCTGGAGCCAGCTCATTTAGGTTCTTAATAATAACTCGTCATTCAATTGTCAGGCATTTTTGCAAGAAATTGCTGCACTTGTTAAATGAACCAGTTATCAAAAGTTAAATTATATGAACTTAAAATTACAACTTACTTTTAAAAAGACAATAAATCCTAAAAACATATCCCATTCCAATCATTTAACTATTATCTATGCTCTTGAGTACATTTCTGTCTTCTATCTGGGTCATGGAATATATGTCATACTGTTGGACTATTGGCATCTCTTCCCGACTCCACATTTGAAGAAGTCCTATTAGTAGTCTGAAATAACCCACAGTGAGGATCTTTATACCATAAAAGTCATCAAATGCTATACACCAGGGCTTGCTGATTTTCTAGAACAAACTTAACAAGTAATGCAGGAAATGTTAATAAAATATTAAAATAGTAATTAAGAGTCATATTTGTAGTCATGACACTGGAAATAGAACAAAAATTGAGGAAATATTCTTTCATTATTCAAATTCTAGTATCTGAGATTTGTAAACATCATTGATGAATGAGTGAAATTTTGATATATAGTTTCTTTGTCTCATTTTCACCTTATTGATCAACATAAATGAAACTCCCAACCAACCTTCAGGTAAAAACTATACTTGTCATCAACTGCAATCACTGATTATCTATAAATGCAAAATGTTGGTAAAATTTAACAAAAACATTCTGTGAGAATCAATGAGCTATATGAAATGTGCAGTAGGGAATATTGCCTATATTATTATTGTAAATCATGCACCAGAGATCCTTTATATCAGTAAAATTTATAGTCAACTATAAATGTATGTATGCATACTGTCTTTTTTTTTTTGGAGAACCGGTTGTTAAACATCCACCTATATTCCACCAGGATAGGTGGAATAAGAGAAAATTTTGAAGGAGAAAGAGAAAGAGTAGAAGTGGGAGAGATGTATAAGGTGCTGCAGTAAAAAAAAGTCAGAGAGTAGAAAGTTTCATAAAGGGCAGATGAATAGAACCACAACCAAGAAAGACCCAGAAACATAATGACTAAAATTTCAAAAGACAAATTTCAAAAACTAAAGTTGATTTAAAAAAATACCACAATTGGTTTGAAGAAGAGGAAGAACTGAAAAAAGAGGAACTATAATTAATTGATCTATTAAAAATTTTTCTTTCAGAACCCCTGTGTACTGTTCATGGGGATATAAACTGGTGCAGCCTCTGTAGAAAGCGGTATGGAGATTCCTCAAAAAGTTAAAAATAAATGTCATATGATCCAGTAATGCCACTACTGGGTACTTACCCAAAGAAAATGAAAACACTAACTTAAAAAGATACATGCACCCCTATGTCTATTGTAGTGTTATTTACAATAGCCAAGTCCATTGATAGACAAGTGGGTAAAGATACCGTATATATGTACACCATGGGTTCTTATTCTTCCATAAAAAGGAATGAGATCTTGCCATTTGTGATAATATGGATAGATCTACAGGGTATTCTGCTAAGTGAAATAGAGAAAAACAGACAGCATATGATTTTACATACATGTATAATATAAAAAAACAAAACAAACAGATAAGTAAACATAAAAAGCAGAAAGAGACCCATAAATACAGAGAACAAACTGATGGTGGCCAATGGTGGCAAAGGAGGGAATGGGCAAAACAGGTGAAGAGAAGTGGGAGGTACAGGCTTCCACTTACGAATTAGTCACAAAGCATAGGAAATATAGTCAATGATATTATACACAAGAGCACTGTATGGTGACAGATGGTAGCTACACTTGTGGTGAGCATAGCATAACATATAGATGAGTTGTATCACTACCTTGTACACCTGAAACATTTTGTGCCAACTACACTTTCATATAAAAAAAAAATCACTGAAAAGAAAGTTTTTCCTTCAAATTAGAGGGAAGATAAAAAGGCAGGGAGAGCATTTTTTAGACATTTGTTTCAGAGGTTTACAAGACAGGCATTTTGAAAAATAATTTCCTGTTTCATAAAACAATATGTTTAATTAAAAAATATTGAGCCTATCAAGTAATAACTTCAGAGAATCAAAAAGTGTATGCCCTGAAACAGAACCAGAATTCTTTTGAACTATACTGTTTAGGCAGTGTCTTATTATGGTTTCTTTCATGATTCCAACATGAAATTAGTTCATTGATCCAGGTAATATGCGGTTCATCTGGCACTTTAATTTCTGGCACTATAGGAATGTAGCAAGCTGTGTTCCCCACCCCACCCCTAACCCCACCAAAGTCTCTGGTGTTTTTGCTACTGTGTCTTTTATATATTCCTGTCCTTTCTCTCTGGAAGTTTTTAAGCTCCCTGAAGACTAAAACTGCATCAGTTATGCCCTTCCTTTCTGTTCACTATACTTACTATAGTCCTTTACATATATAGTTTAATGGGTCATGTATAGTTGATTCAAAAAACATAATCCCCCCTCCCAAAAGAGTTCTAAAATAATCCAAGTATTAGTAATGATCTGAAAGTTCAGATCTCTGAACTTTCTGCAAATTCGAGAATTTAGAGGAAAGATTGAATGGGGGGGAAAAAAAACCCAGAGTGCATAAAAAATGTACATACGCTTTCATTTAACCCACGTTAAATTATAGTTAACATGACTTGAGATCTGAATGAATTTACCTTCAGTGTATTTAAAACAATTAGTTTACATCTCAAATGTATTTAATAAAGTTAGGATATTTTATAAAATGATGTGGGAAAATAGTAAAAAGGTAGAATCAAAATGGCTCCCAGATCATCTCTTCCTGGGTGAAAGAAAACAACAGGAGTGAAAAAATTTAAGAAGGGCTTAGTTTTTTACATTAACTTAATGCTTGCGACTTTAGAATTTACCTCAGTATAAAAACAAATACCTTGCACAGAACAGAATCTATCTGCCTCAAGTAAAATTACCAGAGGAGAAAGTTTCCCTTTAGAATTTTACTATCTAAGATTTGTGTCGGTCTTAAAACTGAAGAGAAATATTATTCATAGGATTGAGGTAAGAAAAGGGACCACACATTCTAATTAGAAAAGTAAAATTTTTATCTGAGATGAAAGTTGGTAAGTATTGCCCTCAGGATTTATCACACCTCAGAGAGTTTCTCACTCTTATTCTGAGGCAGGAGTGTTCGAATGCCTTTCTGGTTTTTATGCAAAGGCATATCCAAAGAGATTTCCAACCCAGCTGGTTAGCAATGTTATCACATCTTCTTTTTTAAAAGGACTATTAATTAAATGCAAACATAACAGAGAACCTCTCAAACATTTTAATGGGTCCCCATGGGTAAAGGCTATTTCTTTTGGGTAGTTTCATTAATTTGTTCTCGTGATGCATTTCATAAAGTCTATACTGGGTTTCATCATGTTAAACCAGTGCTCCCCACCCCCACCCCGCAAAAAAACTAACCAACACCAACCTCCTCCAAGACAAACTATCTATTAATAAAAGTATAATAGCATAATCAACATAACTAATGTAAAAATGATTAGGAAAAATTAGTCTTTTATAACTTCTTAAAAATCTCTAAATCCTCTAAAACAAGTGTTTTGTCCACATTTTCTTTTAAAAAAGACAAAAGTAGGCACAAGTTGAGTTATTGTGTTCTTAAAGTTAGAATCACTTATTAGTTACTTTATAGGAAGCTGAATTCAGAACATTTGAGGGGGGAAGTTGAGTTGGTTCCTTCTACCAAATTAACAGAAAATATATTATTTTATGAGAAAGAGGGTTTCCTACTCATATCTTAATCCTGATTTTGTAATTTGCTAACTGTATAATCCAAAAGGAATATAATGTAAAACCAAGCAGAATCAGAGTTCTGTCATGTCAGGTTGCCACGACATGCAGAAGTAAGTCTAGGAAAGGACAGTAGTAGGTCTAGAGACGGACCCTGGCTTCTTTAATTATAAAATTAATGCAACAGAACTAAGGAAAGCCTGGCATAAGAGGTAGGAGAAAAAGATGAAGAGAAATATGATGAAAATTAGTAGTGACAGTTATGAAATTGAAAAGGATTAATGGATGTGAGACAATGAGCAATATCATTTTGGCGTTCATCTTCAGTGAAAACCCAATCTTCTGATGTAACTCTCATACTTCCTGTGATTTTTCTGCTGTCTTCCAGGTAACAAAAGTCTCTGGAGGCCAAACGCTGCTCTAAACTCCCATTGGTTCTAGCTCAGCTCTTGCAGACCTATCACAAACTGGTGAGAGTCATTTCCAATGTAAGTGAATGAGTTCTCAATTTCCCATCCTAACAAGCCCAAGCGTTTTGAAGTCTTTCTGTGGAAGACCTCTCCCAGTTTCTCAGGCCCCAAACTTGGGAGTCATCGTTGACTCTTCTTTCCCATTTTCACATTGGACCTGACATCCAATCCATCAGCAAAATTCCTTTAGCTCTAACTTCAAAATCTACTCAAAACTTCTTATTTTCATGTGGAGTACCTCAGGAACACCCAGGAAATCTCCCAGCATCTGTCCTTGCTATCTACCCATTTACTCTTAAGATGGCATATTGAGACTTTTAAATTAGGTCTTTATAATGTCCTTAAAAGCTCCTATGTTCTGACCTCAACTTCTACCACTCTTACCATCTCTCAATCTCTATACTCACCCCTTAACTTTCCTCAAATATCGTGCATATCTCCACCTAGTGGTATGTGCCTTCATTACTTTGCCTAAAATACTCTCCCTTCCTACATTTGCATGGTCCACTTCAATTTTTTTAAAGATCTTTGATAAATGCTACCTTTTTAGAGAGGCCTTCTTGACCACTCTACTTACATGATAGGAGCATCCTACACTTTAACTACTATATTCCCCTTTTCTTTTCACTTCTCCATAGCATGTATCACTTATCTGACCTACTAAATATTTATGTATGTATTTGGGCAAGGGACAGTATTTTATTCATTGCTCTCTCTCCGGTGCTCTAGCCTGGGCTTGAAATACAGAAGGTGTTTAATGATTATTTGCTGATTGGATGAAAGAATGATTAAGTGGATAAAGGGTGAGAGGCTCAGCAAATTGGCTGTCCTGTTTGATTTATTAGGGTGAGCCTCTTAGCCCAGCAGGTCCCCTGAGTATAGAGTTTCCAGTGGAGCACAGCTGCTCACAGATGTATGTTTCCTCATAAATGTTCTTGTCTTTTTTTCTCCAAATTATGTATTCATTTATCTAAGTTCTTATTAAGGTAGAACATATATTTAGTATAGTATACTAATTATAAATATATAAATTGATACATTCATCTAATAGGTAGGTCATGATATAACATTTTAAGCACCTGGAAAGCACCCCCATGTCCTTTCCCAATCTGTACCCTCTAGAAGTAGCTACTGGCTTCACTTCTATCTTTGTAGGTTTATTTTGCCCTTTTGTCCTCCACATCCTCTGCTTTACTGAGGTATAACTGAGAATTAAAAACTGTAAATATTTTAGGTATACAAATTGATAATTTGATATTATGTATCCATTGTAAAATACTCACCACAATCAAGCTAATTAACATAGCCCATCTTCTCACACAGTTACCAATTTCTTCCCTGTGTGTGTGGTGAGAATATTTGAGATCTACCCTCTTAGAGACCTTAAGTGTACAATACAGGATTGTTAAGTATAGTCACATTGGTGTACACTAGCTCTCCAGAATGTATTTGCCTTGTGTTACTTAAACTTTGGCTCTCAGTAAATTTTCAGCAGTCAAGGCCAAATACATCTGAAAATATGTTTCTATCCTATCTCCTATACACTAGGCTCAATTTAGAAATTATGCATAACCTCAAAGGAATCACATAAATATTATCATTAGTACTTTGTAGGATTAAAATAAACTTTTTATGTAGTTTAATCTCATAAGATAGCACCTGCAGATTACAATACCTTAGCATTAATTCTTTCTGCAGGAGGTTTAAGTTTTTATAAAGCCCTTTTCTAATTTGAGACCATAATCTGCTTGATAAACCCAACTTCTTTCTAGTTATCTTAGAATTTTAAGTCAGAGTCATTCATAAAATGGGTAGAGGAGATCTTGGTAGCATCCACACAAATTTAATGGTGCTAATCAATTTAGTGAGAAATAGGCAGCACTTGATGAAATTCTTAAATGCTTTTAATATGAACACTTCTAAAGGAAACTATGTGTTTTGCTCGTGGTATTAATTTCAGCAAACTTTCATAATTTTTTCACAATTTTCACAAATTTCACAAAATTTCTATCAATTGAGTATCATATTTGTTTGTTTCTCACATAAAATGGAATTTAGCTTTGTATCCAAAGAAAATTCATGCGCCCATTGTAATTTGGAGATATCTTTATTTGACAGGCATTTTGTTTACCTCATGAGTGCTAGAGGAGGCTGGTTGAGAAAAATTATAGAGGATGAATGCAAGGTAATGATTTCTACAAAAAATACTGATGCTGAGAGTAACACATAGTAAGTCATTAGCATCAACACTATTCTATCATAGCTTCTCCATAGAATTGTTAACAAAATATTTTTTAAAGTAAAAAAAAAGGAAAAGAAGAATGTTAAGAACTGTGGTGATTAATTTGTGTTATCTCATTCAATCTCCTGCATATCCTTATGATTCTGATGCGGTTGTTATACCTGTTTTACAGATCAGGCATCTAAGATATAAGATTTTAAAGTGCGCTCAGGGTCTCACAGAGTTAGCAGTAGACCAATTAGAACTCACGTTTATCAGGTTTCAAAACTTGTGGTCTATGTTATCATATTACATTGCAACTCTAGTATAGGTTTGTGTTTTTACTTGAGTGATACCATATTCAATTAGAAAACACTGTACACTTCCATAGGTCAAGTTCAAAGTTACTACTTCGACTAAAGTCCCTGAAACATTCCAGAAGTAGTAAGTTCAGTAAGTCAGGAAGTGAAAAGGAATCAAAGGAGGTACTGTTAGAAAAGAATAGACTTAAGTGCAAAGGCTTTTACATGCTATGTTAAGGACTTGGGGTTTTATCCTATAGACCAACGGTTCTCAGCTTCTAGTGTGCATCAGAATCCCTGGGAGGGTGCTGGCCCTGCCCCAGAGTTTCTGATCAACTTACAGTTTCTGTAATCTAGTGTGGGGCTAGAAAAGAAGAGGTCAGGGCTGACCCCAAGTCTTTAGCTTGAGAGACAGGATAGATCAGGATGTTACTAAATGAGACAAAGATCAGAAGAAGCTGTGGATTTTATAGGGGAGAACTCATTAAATTTTTTTTTAAACTTACTATACTTGACATATTTAAAGGCCACCAATGGAGATGACCAATGGGGAATTATAAGCATATCTGGAATTCAAGTGTGAGGTCAGGGGTAAAGATAATTATTTAAGAGTCAAATAACATAGAAATAGATGTCTGAGCTATAGACATGGATATAAGATAAAACCCCAAATACCAATAAATGGATGGCTAACCAATGTCTTGATTTGTTTCTTACCATCAGTAAAACAGGCCTCTGGCTCATCTGAATTTACAGGTTCAGCCTCCGCTTCTTCTCCTTCTCCTGGCAGAGGGTTATCAACTGTGCTGCACTCAGAGGAACTCGACCGGTTCAGCCTCTAAAAAGAAATTCACCACCCCACCAGACAGTTCATTTAGGGGTCATTCAAATCTTATATTCAAGCCATATTTAATAATCAAAGTCATGCAAAGTGTTGTGAAAAAAGATTAACAGTATGATGGCCATAAAAACGTATAAACACATATTGAGGTCAGGTAACCTTATAATACATCTATGCTTGATCTTTCTATCTACACATCCTGTGAAAAATAAATTTTATTATATTTAGTATGCTGACAAGTATTTGGACAGAATTAGCACAAGGAAATTTTTGTAAACTATAATATATTTGCAAAGTATTGGCCACATTTTTATTCTTTTATGTTTAATATAAATTTGTGTACACCAATAATTATTATATTCAGACAACCAAGACCCTAGTAGAAATAATACAAGTGCCAATGCCAATGCCTGATAACTGAAAGATCATATCTGACAGTTGACAGAAAAGCTTGTTGATATTTAAAATTTAAAAAAAAAGAAAGAGATTAGTGTAAAATGAAATCCAAACATATTTTTTCTATTAACTCTTGGATTTAAGAATATGTACCAGGATGATATAGATAGAAGGCTTTTGATCAAGACCAAAGAAAGTCAAATATTATATTGGAATCAGAATGCCAAAGACAAAAGTAATTATTTCATCCAACACCACCCATTTTAGTATAAAATTTCAGGATACAGTTGAAAAGATCATAAAGTATTATCTATACTGTCAAAAAACAATGGCTACCAAAGTGAGCACTACATGCAAACTCTGAAACAAATAGTCAATGAAATTAAACATGGCAGACTCACACATGACAGAAATGAATTCATTGTCATTATGATCACATAATTGATCATAACACAAGTTTTTCCCGCCCAGAAATTTATGATCAAACATGATGTTTACAAACATACACATACACAGAAATTTTTAGAAAAAATACATACAGCAATTGTAGCAAAACTCTGTCAATTTTTCCTAATATTGCTTTATAAAGGGTAGAGCAGCACATCAATGGAAGAGTTCATTTTCATTCTCATTTGCTAAACGACATGTGAATATTGAAACTAGTAGTTATTACAGCACATGCTTCCCTTATTAAGATTACAGCTTTACTATTTTTTTAGAATAGTCCCACAAATACAAGTGTTAAAAGTAAGGAAATACTCATTTCCATTAAACTGATAACTTAATCTATTAATTTGCATTAATATCGCTGGCCTAATCTGAAATTAATTTTTAGAGATTTACTGGGAAGCTTAAAATTATTCGTTATGAGTATATTCTCAGTGCTCTTATTATCACACATTATTCAACATTAGTAAAAAAGACATCAATACATTATTGTACATAAGGAACGATGTAAGTAAAGTTCTTTATAAAGACAGTAAAGAATTATGAATACTTTAATACTTATAATCTATTGCTGTCAGGGCATTACTCCTACCAGGTCAAAGAGTTTTATAATAGTATCAGTTACAAACAGTATCATTATGAAATTTCATTTAAAAAGCAGACTTATATTGATTGAATTCATCTAAAATGACTTTAAAATAAATAAATTAAATTTTTAAAAAAAGACTACATCGCTTTAGGTTAAATACTGTAATTTTGACCTTGCAGTACAATAAAACTTCCTTATCTAAAAAAGAAAAAAGAAAAATAAAGGAAATAGAAATTAATTATAAGTCTGAATATATTTAAGGTTTTAAAATATACATTACTCCAAGAAACAATGGGGAAATGTATAATTACTAATGCAGTCTACTGTGCCAATTACTACAAAAACTAATTTTGAGTATGATATCTAAAAAACTAGAATTATTTGATGCCCTCAATTCTTGGCTTCTCAGCTGAATGTGGACTATCACCAGGGAATTGAAAGAAAAGGTACTATGATTCTGTGGTGATGACACCAAGTCCTTCAAATGTGAAAAATGGATTATTGCCCTGGGTTTTGAGGCAAAGCAGTGGGAGAAACAGCTGACAGAAAGAACGCAAAGCACTTTCCTGCTCCTAGCCAAAATACTGACAACTAGCAAATAGTCCTCATGGTTTTCTAAGGTGGCCACAATTTTTAAATAAAATTATTCTAATCTGCAAAATGCCAACTTGGGCCAAATTAATGAAAACGTCTTCAACTTCAGTATTTGATTTTCTCACTGATCATTAACAGAGATACGCTAAGTTAATTCACAAGCAAATAAAATTAAGATGATTTTACAAAGTGTCTTTTGTCATTCTGAAACCTTTTATTTTCATAGCTTTTATGGCAATTTTTTGTCAATTAAATTCAAAGTTTGGCTCAAATTTTATATCATAAATAACACTTATTCAAGATTATTCCTCATCAGAACAGACATTACCAAAATATTTTATATGAATGGTAGTTTGTATCATACACCAAATTGCTATGGCCTTTTAGAAATTCAAGTTTAAAATTTTTTAGGAATTCCATGTTTTCCTGGGAATGAATGAAGTAGTCACAAACTAGTTATTTTTGTACTGTATATATTAAACATTTATGCATTTATGTGCGTGCCATAGTGATGTAGACAGTTTAATTATAATCTTGTCAGCCTTTAAATTTAGTATTTACTAAAGTGGAAGTTTTTTTAACAAGATCCAAAAGGATGCCTTTAAGTAGAAAGGCTAACATCTATAATAAAAACTTTCTCTTAAAGGGTAATGCATTTTATTCTCATAGCAGGTGTTGCTATATTTAACTATTGCATTTTCTTATTTTCTAGTTTAGTACAAGAGAAGATCATGTCAATCATTAGAATCATTTTACATAATTATATTATTATTTTCATATCTATAAACTCAGTCATTTGTCATTTAGTTTCCTTTCTTGTAGTTTTGGAAATTGAAGAATTATTATAGTATGCTAAAACCAGTAAAATAAATACTTTAGTATAAAAAAATTCCCTTTCAATATTACAAATATGCTATTTTATAATTTTTGCATGGATTTTATTTTTAATAAAAAGTGAAATATACCTTTTGTCTCTTACTTTTTTGCATGGCAGCAAAGACAAGTTTTTTTTACCTTTGACAGCCTACATAAACAGGCTATAAACACAATATAATAGATGTAAACTCATTAGCATTAAGAACAGGAATATGCTATACACAGCATTCCTACTTTTTTATTGAATAATGTGGTATTGCCTGTAGGTACTTTTTAAAATTTTGTCTTTCTTTGCTTTAGGTAAACTCTATATACTTAATTTAAAAAATTTAAATGTATAAATAATATATGGTAAAAAAATGTCCTTTCCACTCACTCCCTGATTCTATCAACTTGAAGCACCTAGTATATACACAGTGTGTATGTGTGTGTGTGTGCACACACACACACTCACACACACATATTTATCTTTCCATATTCTTCACTGTGCATCCATAAAACACAGAAGTAATTTGGAACATTCTAATCTTGCTTATAAACAACAGCTATCTAAGAAGCCCCTTTCAATGACTGAAAACATCAGATTAAGATGGTAGTAGTAGGACCTTAATGTTTGCCTTGTCCCTTGAACACAGCTAGATAAGTATCAAATCATTCTGAACACCCAGGAAATTGCTATGAGGACTGAAAGAACAAACTGCACAACTAAGAGGAGACCACAACATGGAAGGTGGGTGGTGTGGAGATGTGATTTGGGGAAGAGAAGGGGGAGGGAGTCATGATCACAGAAAGTGGACAGAAAAAAAGACAGAGGGAGAGAGACAGAGAGAGCAGCACAAAGGGGACCATACAAGAAAAATGCTTCCCCAAAATCAGTGACTGGGAAAACAAGAAGGGTTGTTTATTGTAAGTTTTTTTGGCCAGTGAAGCTCAAAAACTAGAGTTTTAGAAGTCTGCACTGTGGTCAGTGTGGAGTCTGGTGGGCACAGCAGTGCTCCTGTGGTGAAGGAGGAAAGGAGCCTGGGAGCACAAGGTGTGATGTGAGGATCCCCTGGGATGCACTAGAAGAGACAGTTTGCCCTGCTTAGGGTGTATCTGGGAAAGGTGGCATTACCTCTTAGGGGAAAAAAGAGCAGGTGGGTGTCACTGTGCTCCCATTCCTTAGCATAGGGGCAGAGACACCTGCTGAGGGTAGCTAACCTGGAGGCTGGCTTTTTGCTTTGCTTTACTCTAAACTCCAGTCTCCTGTGTGTTACTGCAACTGCCCCTCTGAGACAAACTGGCACCAGCCTCAGTACGGCAAGACCCTTCGCCAGAGGACCTGTGCAGATCTGTGCAGACCAGTGCAGGTCCCTAAAGTTTGGAGTTTTGAAACTCAGCCAACATAAAACACAGATGCACTGCATTGCTGGGAGGAAAGGCAGCATGGATACAGACAGGGTGAAGCACAGGGAACTGAGGGAAGTCTAGGACACATGAGGGGAGATTGTTCACTCTTCTGTGAGGGCTTCATAGACAGCGGTGGGCATGAACTCCCCTCTGCATGATGAGGGAGAGGGTTGGTACCATTTTTCACCCCTGCCCATCAGTATGCACTGACTTCAGTGAGCATAACAGCACCAACAGTGGAGGCCCGAACCACTTACATCAACCTCTGCTTCCCTCCATTCTGCAGGTGCTTCTTTACTCGGGTTAAGTGTGTCTGAGAACCAGAGCAGCAGGTCCCTCTTCCAGAAGACCAGCACAAACCCCTGCATGCACCAAGTCTATTGACCATAGAGTGCTGCAAAGCTTTGGGTCTAGTGGAAAGAGGATCTGGCCTCTTTTTTAATCCTTTTTTTTTTTTCTTTTTAAAGTTTTTATTTATTAGAGATCACAAGTAGGCCCAGTGGCAGGTTGGGGGTGGGGAGCAGGCTCTCTGCAGAGCAGAGAGCCAGATGAGGGGCTCGATCCCAGGACCTTGAGATCATGACCTGAGCCAAAGACAGAGGCTTAACCCACTGAGCCACCTGGGTGCCCTGGATCTGGCCTATTTTAACAAGCAGACCAAAGCACACCAATTTAAAACTCACCACACACTGGACAAGATCCAAAC